GATGCATTTCAGCAGATGTGAAGGATCTTTGATGTAAGAGAAGAGAGAGCAAACCTGGCCATCTTCAGGGGTCCTGATTATGAGCCCACATTCCACAGCTGCTATACATTCAAACATTTATAACAGTCAATGTAATTTGAGGCACATGGAACCAGCCACCTACTCAGAGATCTCTCTTGTTGGGCCTCAAATGCCCTATTCGGTTATCAAACCTTGGTTTCATAGCTTCTGTCTCACCTGACAGAGTGCTGACAGGACCAGGACAGAATCTTGCCACGGACAACAGGTGAATGGCAGGTTGAACCTACAGTTCCAGAGGAAGACACTAGGAGGAGCAAGAGATCAGAAAAGGTTTGGCCATCCTCGGCTCTCCAACAAGTCTGGGAAAGGTCTTCTCAGCGTGAAACCAAAGAATGGGGAAGATGGACACAAATCCTGCTAAATGCTAAAATGCATACAAAGAAACAGGGAAATGCGGCCCAAATAAAGTATCAGAACAAAACTCCAGGGGCTGGCGCTGACGCGTAGTGAGTGAGGCTGCCACCTGCAGTGCCAGCACCCCATATGGGTGACGGTTTGAGTCCCGGCTGCTCCTCTTCCAATCCAGCTCTCTGCTATGGCCTGGGAAAGTGGCAGAAGATGGCCCAAGTCCTTGGGCCCCTGCACCCACGTGAGAGACCCGGAAGAAGCTCCTGGCTCCTGGCTTCTGGCTTTGGAACGACACAGCTCCAGCCATTGTGGCCAGCTGGGGAGTGGACCAGTGGACAGAAGACCTCTCTCTCTGCCTCTCCTTCTCTCTCTGTGTAACTCTGACTTTCAGATAAATAAATAAATATTTGAACAAAATAAAACTCCAGTAATCAATCCATTTCTTATGCAATCTATGAGTTGCTTGATGAATAAAATATTTTTAAAGATTTATTTATTTATTTGAAAGGTAGAGTTACAGAGAGACAGAAGGAGAGATAGAGAGATCTTCCATCTACTGGTTCACTCCCCAAATGGCCTCAGTGACCAGGGCTGGGCCATGCCAAGCCAGGAGCCAGGAGTTTCTTCCAGGTTTCCCACGTAGATGCAAGGGGCCAAGCACTTGGGCCATCTTTTGCTGCTTTCTGAGGCACATTAGCCAGAAACTGGATTGGAAGTGGAGCAGCCAGGACTCGAACTGGCTCCCATCTGGGGTGCTGGCACTGCAGGCGGTGGTTCAACCCACTGTGCCATAGCTCCAGCCCCTGACAGAGAATTTAAAATAACTATCATGATGATGCTCAGTGAGTTTAAAGAGAAGGCAGAGAGGCAACTAAATACAATCATGAAAGTGGGGCAAGAACAAAATGAGAATATCAACAGAGATAGAAATGATTTTAAAAAGAACCAAGCAGAAATTTTGGAGCTTAAAAGATAACTGAAAAATTGTTAGAGAGGTACAACAGCACCCTTGATCATGCAGAAGAAATAAGAGATTATGTGAAGTTCTAAAACCAGAGGAGCAAAATGAAAAAGAATAAATAAATGTGAAGAGAGTCTAGGCGACTCATAGGACCCTGTCAAGTGACTAATATACATCTTATGGAAATCACAGAAAAAGAAAAAAAATGAACAGAGAACTTACTTAAAGAAATGATGGCAAGGGCCCGGTGCTGTGGTGCAGTGGGTTAGAACCCTGGCCTGCAGTGCCGGCATCCTATATGGGCACCGGTTTAAGACCTGGCTGCTCCACTTCCGATCCAGCTCTCTACTATGGCCTGGGAAAGCAGTGGAGGATGGCCCAAGTCCTTGGGCCCCTGCACTACATGGAAGACCCAGAAGAAGTTCCTGGCTCCTGGCTTCAGATCAGCACAGCTCCAGCCATTGTGGCCATCTGGGGAGTGAATCGGAAGATGGAAGACCTCTCTCTCTGTCTCTACCTCTCTCTGTAACTTTTTCAAATAAATAAAATAAATCTTTTAAAAAAAGAAATGATGGCCAAAAACTATACAAATACGAATGGAAAACATAGTCAAAAACTCAAAGAGAGGTGTGCATTTGGGGCAGAGGTTAAGATGCCATTTGGCACACCCACATCCCATATAGGCGTGCCTGGGTTGAGTCCTGGCTCTGCTTCTGATTCGAGCTTCCTGCTATTGTGAACCCTGGGAGGCACCAGGTGATGACTCAAGTAACTGTGTCCCTGCCACTGACATAGGAGATGGAGATCAAGTTCTGCTCTCCTAGCTTTGATCTGGCCCAGCCCTGGCAACTGTGGGCAGTTGGGGAGAGAGTCAGTGGATGGAAGATTCTCTCTCTCTCTCTCTCTCTCTCTGTGCCTTTCTAATCAACTACTTAAAATGTTAAGACTCTTATTGACATTTTGAGATGCGATGATTTTGAACAGCCCTTTCTCTCACCTGTTGAGGAACAGATTTATATATATATATATTACATATTATATACTATATTATATATATTATTTTGTTGAGTTCAGTATAGGGTTAATCTTATATGTATAAAGTTAATTGAAAATAGGTCTTTGTAAAATATAAGAATGGGAATAGGAGAGGGAGGAGGAAGAAAGGTGGGAGTGAAAGAAGGAAAGAAGGTAGCATGGGAAGAATCACTATGCTGATAAATTTGTATATATGAAATGCATGAAGTTGTATACCTTAAATAAAAGGTTTCTAGGTTAAAAAAACTCTCAAAGACTTCAAATCAGGATAAATTTTAAAATATTCACACCAAAACACATAATCAAACACCTAAAGTCAAAGGCAATATGGCACAAGCGGGTAAAGCTGCCACCCACAGTGCTGACATCCTATATGGGCGCCAGTTTGAGTCCCAGCTGCTCTACTTCCAATCCAGCTCTTTGCTATGGCCTGGGAAAGCAGTGGAAGGTGGCCCAAGTCCTCGGGCCTCTGCACCCACGTGGGAGTCCCAGAAAAGGCTCCTGGCTCTTTGCTTCGGATCAGCCCAGCTCTGGCCATCGTGGCCATTTGGGAAGTGAACCAGCAGATGAAAATCTCTCTCCTCTCTCTCTTTCTCTCTCTGCCTCTGCCTCTTTGTAACTCTGCCTTTCAAATAAATAAAATGAATTTTTTTTGTTAAAACATAGCAAGAGAGGAGCAATTTGTCACATAAAATGGAGTTTCTGTAAGATTATAAATGTATTTCTCAGCAGAGTAAAAGGGAATAGAAAAGCATATTCAAAATACTGAAGGAAAAACTGAATCAGAAACACTGTATCTGCCAAAATTATCCTTCCAAAATTAAACAGAAGGAGTGGTGTTTTGTCTAGCAGTGAAGATATCAGCTTGGACACCTGCATCCCATATTAGAGTGCCTGGGTTCAAGTCCTGGCTCCAATCCTGATTCCAGAGTCCTGCTAATGCACACCCTGGTAGCCAGTGGGTGATGGCTCAAATGGTTTTGTTCCTGACACACATGTGGAAGACCTGGATGGAGTTCCCAGCTCCCAACTTCAGCTTGTCCCAGCTCTCACCATTGCAAGCATTTGGGAGATTTCTCCCAGCAGAGGAGAGGTTTCTCTGTTTCTCAAATAAATAAATAACCAAATAAGAATAAGTAACCAGATGGAAAAAGGACTGCGCTCGCTCTCTCTCTCTCTCTCTCTCTCTCTCTCTTTTGACAGGCAGAGTTGGACAGTGAGAGAGAGAGAAAGGTTCTCCTTTTCTGTTGGTTCACCCCATAAATGGCTGCCACGGCCGGCGCACTGCGTCGATCCAAAGCCAGGAGCCAGGTGCTTCCTCCTGGTCTCCCATGCGGATGCAGGGCCCAAGCACTTGGGCCATCCTCCACTACCCTCCCAGGCCACAGCAGAGAGCCGGATTGGAAGAGGAGCAACCAGGACAGAATCCGGCACCCCAACCGGGGCTAGAACCCCGGGGTGCTAGTGCCGCAGGTAGAGGATTAGCCAAGTGAGCGGCAGCATTGGCCTGCTCTCTCCTAATGTCTGGGAACAGACATAGAAATCTCAGAGGAAATTCTGATTATCTCTACTCGGTTTGCATGCCTCTGCCTAAACCCATCACTATGGTGAAGGATGCTAGGGTAATGCAATTGGCTCAAGCTTGAAATAGGTGGTAGCAGGTGGAAAGAGGGGGCAGTGCTGGAAATGAGACAGCCTGTGATTGACAGTTGTACCAGGTTACATGGAACAGAGCAAGGAAGAGTCTCCTTTGGAAGGAATGCCAATAGATTCAAATAACTAACACCATGGCTGCCAAGAAAGGTGACAATCAATATTGGAGATGGGGAGGTTGGAGAATGAATTCAGTGATAGGAGACAGCAGGGATAGGTGGAGCACTATTTTTCTAAGACCAGGCTGAACTAGGCTATGGGATTATAAAGTTGTTGTTAGGGTAGATGTGGAGGGGGCAGAAGGTGGGATGCATGAAAATAAGAACCTTATGCTAGCTACATGTATGCGTGAGGTAGTTTAAATTCTCTCACTTTTGGGCTGGCGCTGTGGCATAGCGGGTAAGGCCGCCACCTGCTGTGCCGGCATCCCATATGGGCGCTGGTTCAAGT